TGTCACAATCCCCTCTTCATATGAAAGCCGTTCCATACCCCTAATCATTTTTGTTGCCCTTTTCTGAACCTATATAGAGGCAATATGATATTTTCTGTCTTATTATCTATCCCTTTCTTAATGATTCCTACCGTTCTGTTCGTTTTTTTGACTGCCACTGCACATTGAGTGGATGTTTTCAGATAACTATCCACAATGACTCCAAGATCTCTTTCTTGAGTTGTAACAGCTAATTTAGACCCCATCATTTTATATGTATAGTTGGGATTATGTTTACCAATGTGCATTACTTTGCATTTATCAACACTGAATTTCATCTGCCATTTTGTTTCCCAGTCACCCAGTTTTGAGAGATCCTTTTGTAGCTCTTCACAGCCTGCCTGGGACTTAACTATCTTGAATAGTTTTGTATCATCTGCAAATTTTGCCACCACACTGTTTACCCCTTTTCCCAGATCATTTATGAATATATTGAATAGGACTGGACCCAGTACAGACCCTTGGGGGACACCACTATTTACCTCTCTCCATTCTGAAAACTGACCATTTATTCCTACCCTTTGTTTCCTATCTTTTAACTGTCCCTCTTATCCATGACTGCTTACTTTGCTTAATAGCCTTTGGTGAGGGACCTTGTCAAAGGCTTTCTGAAAATCTAAATACACTATATCCACTGGCTCCCCCTTGTCCACATGCTTGTTGCCCCCCTAAAAGAAAACTAGTAGATTGGTGAGGCATGATTTCTCTTTACAAAAACATGTTGACTCTTCCCCAACAAATTATGTTCAAATATGTGTCTGACAGTTTTGTTCTTTACTATAGTTTCAACCAGTTTGCCTGGTACTGAAGTCAGGCTTACCAGACTGTAATTGGTGGGGTCACCTCTGGTGTCCTTTTAAAAAATTGGCATCACATTAGCTATCCTCCAGTCATTTGGTACAGAAGCTGATTTAAATGATAGGTTACAGATGACAGTTAGTTGTCCTGCAATTTCACATTTGAGTTCCTTCAGAACTCTTGGTTGAATAGCATCTGGTCCTGATGACTTATTACTGTTTAGTTTATCAATTTGTTCCAAAACCTCCTCTAATGACACCTCAGTCTGAGACAGTTCCTCAGATTTGTCACCAAAAAGAATGGCTCAGGTTTGGGAATCTCCCTCACATCCTCAACTCTGAAGATGGATGCAAAGAATTCATTTAGTTTCTCTGCAATGGCCTTATCATCTTTGAATGCTCCTTTAGCATCTCGATTGTCCAGTGGCCCCCCTGGTTGTTAAGCAGGCTTTCTGGTTCTGTTGCACTTAAAAAAATGTTGGTATTACTTTTTGAGTCTTTGGCTAGCTGTTCTTCAAATTCTTTTTTGGCCTTCCTAATTATATTTTTACACTTTATTTGCCAGAGTTTATGCTCCTTTCTATTTTCCTCACTAGGATTTAACTTCCACTTTTTAAAGGATGCCTTTTTGCCTCTCACTACTTCTTTTACTTTGTTGTTTAGTCGCGGTGACTCTTTTTTGGTTCTCTTACTATGATTTTGAATTTGGGGTATACATTTAAGTTGAGCTTCTATTATGGTGTCCTTAAAAAGTTTCCATGCAGCTTGCAGGGATTTTACTTTTGGTGCTGTACCTTTTAATTGCTGTTTAACTAACCTCCTAATTTTTGTGTAGTTTCCCTTTCTGAAATTAAATGCTACAGTGTTGGGCCGCTGTGGTGTTTTCCCCACCACAGGGATGTTAAATATAATTATATTATGTTCACTATTACCAAGTGGTCCCGCTATATTCACCTCTTGGACCTGATCCTGTGCTCCACTTAGGATTAAATCAAGAATTGCCTCTCCTCTTGTGGGTTCCAGGACTAGCTGCTCCAAGAAGCAGTCATTTAAGATGTCAAGAAACTTTATCTCTGCATCCCATCCTGTGGTGATATGTACCCAGTCAATATGGGGAGAGTTTAAATCCCCCATTATTATTGAGGGTTTTTTTAATAGCCTCTCTAATCTCCCTGAGCATTGGGTGATTGGTTGGGTGATTGGTAATATATCCCTACTGTTATATTCTTATTATTCGAGCATGGAATTACTATCCACAGAGATTCTATGGTACAGTTTGGTTCATTTAAGATTTTTACTTCATTTGATTCTATGTTTTCTTTCACATATAGTGCCACTCCCCCATCAGCATGACCTGTTCAGTCCTTCCGATATATTTTGTACCCTGGTATTACTGTGTTCCATTGATTATCCTCATTCTACCAAGTTTCTGTGATGCCTACTATATCAATGTGCTCATTTAATATGAGGCACTCTAGTTCACCCATCTTATTATTTAGACTTCTAAAATTGGTATATACGCACTCTAAAAACTTGTCACTTTTTAGCTGTCTCCCGTTAGATGGTGTAATTGAATCAGACTTTTTTTCATTTGACTCTTTCTCATCAGATCCTACCTATATTTTATCATCTTGCATATTCTCCTCCTAACTAGGACATAGAGAATCTCCATTAATAGATCCTCCCCTAAGGGATGTCTCTGTCTGAACCATGTGCTCCTCTGCACCTCTCGGCTTTCCCCCAGCCTTTAGTTTAAAATCTGCTCTACAACCTTTTTAATTTTAAGTGCCAGCAATCTGGTTCCATTTTGGATTAGGTGGAGCCCATCCTTCCTGTATAGGCTCGCTCTTTCCCAAAAGTTTCCCCAGTTCCTAATAAATCTAAACCCCTCCTCCCTACACCATTGTCTCATCCACGCATTGAGACCCTGCAGTTCTGCCTGTCTAACTGGCCGTGCGTGTGGAACTAGAAGCATTTCAGAGAATGCTACCATGAAGGTCCTGGACTTCAATCTCTTACCCAGCAGCCTACATTTGGCCTCCAGGACCTCTCTCCTATCCCTCCCTATGTCATTGGTACCTACATGTACCACGACCACCGGCTCCTCCTCAGCACTACACATAAGTCTATCTAGATGTCTTGAGAGATTCGCAACCTTTGCACCAGGCAGGCAAGTCACTATGTGGTTCTCCCGGTCATCGCAAACCTATCTATCTATGTCTCTTCCTAAAAAAAGAACAGAAGTACACAAGTACTCCTATTTTTTTTGCGGATACAGACTAACACGGCTGCTACTCTGAAACCTGTCTCTTTCTAATAACTGGAAGCATACAAGCGAAGTCTTTTTACTTTTATGCTTTTCCTGCTGCCTTGTCTGCTAACTGTTTCCTCGTTAGCACTTGACGGCTGCAAAATGCCAGTTTTCAAAAAGTGATTATCAGTGTGGGATGAGAAACAAATACAAACTTTGTAACATTGGATTATGGAGTAGCATAATCTGCTGCCCATTCTTGCTAACTCATGAGTGTTTCAGTGTGGTTGGATCTCAGTTTTTCTATTTTACCTTGTGATTGACTGGGTGCTTTTTAAAATGTTTCCAAATGTACAAGTATTTTCATGTTTAATTAAGGCACCACTGCTGTTGTACCTATTAAGAGTCAGGGGAGATTTGCTTGCTGCATATTACACAAATTGCACAATGGTAATTGCACAAATGCTATATCTCTTAGGCCACTCTTAGGCCATCATTTTTCAAAATTAATCTACATGGAATTCAGCTGAGTCATAGGTCTGAATTACTTCATAAAGCATTTAGAATTTTATTCAGAAAAGCATCCCTATTCAGGAGCGTGCTTTAGCTCCTGGTTAGTCACTAGCCAAAATCCACAGGTGCACGCTGAAAGACAGTCTCTGTATTAGCCAGTGTGGGTGGGCAGTGTGGATGCTCCATGCCCCTGCCCCTTAACACAATCTATTTATTTGATCTGCCCATCTTAGGGTTTTGTACTGACTCCCATCACTGTACTGTGTGATCCTGATTGCGAGGATTGATCTGTTTGCAGATACCAGAGTTAGCCTTTAATTAGTGTTTTGATTATATTTATCATTACTTAACATGGAGCAATATTTTAAGAGCTGGTGTATAATTAATCTATTTATAGATATAGTACTTAAGCAACTTTTTTATTGTTGTTTCAGAAGCAAAACCACAAACATGTGATCCTGGGGAAGTGAAAACTCAAGGTGTCTGTAGTAGTAAGTATTTAGTCTTGACTTTTATGATTTTCTTTATAACCAGGACCTAATAATTTCAAGATTTTGTTATATTTTTTACGTTTGTTGTTGGTAAATGAAGTATCTTGTCCTTTTGACTAGAAGAAGTTAAAACAGCACCATTAGTGATCAGGTAAGAAACAGCTTGTGTCTCAGGGTACGTCTACACTGCAAAACAAAACAAAACAACTATGGCAGTGAGCCTCAGAGCCCAGTCAACTGCTTTGGGCTCACGGAGCTCTTGCTACACGGCTAAAAATAGCAGTGTAGGTGTTCCTGCTTGGGGTCTGAGGCATTCTGAAAGGAACATTAAAATATTAAACTTATTTTTCAGGTTTAATAGTTTTATAATAAAAATTGAGCTTTTAATGCTTTTTCAGGCGCTTATACTAAATACACATCTCAATGTCTATCCGTGAAAGGGATACTGTCAACATATTTAGGACTTTCCATTGCTGGAGGGGGTTGGGGGGTTCCAGTGTAGATGTACCCTTAGTAAATATTTCTGTTTAGCCATAATCTATTATATTTATATTTTTTATAAATCTGGGGTTGCACATGTGCATCTGGCAATGTTTTCAGTGGAAATCCTTGGGGGCCTAAGGTCTCTCCATGTGATCTCTTGCAGGGCCTTAGATTGTAATTGCTGTGTAAAATGTGATTCACATTATGAATCCATACACAAGTACTAAATAAGTAATAATAATGGTTAATAATGTTGATTTACAAGTTACTTTGATTTGAAGATTCCTTTCATACCTAAATGCTGGCTCTCAACAATACCCCTTTTCTTGCAAACTCTGCTGCCTGCATACTGTCCCACTACACTTAGACCATTCTTAGTTTTGTATACAGGCTAAGTAATTGTTCCTCTCAGCTATTCAAATTGATTTGTCTGTTACTTTTGGTTCTCTGGCAAGATTTTGTTGTTGGCTTTTATTTCACTCCGTTTTACCTTCCTCCCCTCCCCTCTCTTGAAGCAGTGGTAGTTTTGCTATCCAAATGTTTTTATAAAGAAAATAGCAAATCTTCTTTAATTCGTTCACCCTTCTCTCCAGGCTATGAATAATCAATATCTAAAAAAGGAATTTTCTTATTTTAATAACTAGCAATAGGAAAAAATACATTTTTTTTCTTGTTGTGATTCTCACCAGTTTTCTTTATTTCACTGACTTTATAAAATGTAATCGCAAAAGAAGTCTATATATGGAAAGAGTAAACGTTCTTGCTTTTATAACTGATATTTAAACTTTCTCAATGTGAGTTCAGTCAACATAAACCAATATTGATTCTCCTCAGAATGAAATTCACAAATTATGTTTTTGTTTTGTTTTTATTTGTACATTGTATGTTTTGTGGTAGGTAGACTGTCTCCTTCATCATCTCCATCCCCATCACCACCACCTCCTACTTCACTTGAAGTTGTGGCAGAGTTGGTTGAAGCCAGTGTTTACTTAAGGTGTACTTTTGATGTTCCTCTCACAAATAGTTCAGTGGGATTTATTGTAACTTGGTCCAGGCTTGCTTCTGAAGACTTCAAAGAAGAACTGAGACGAGAGACAACAGTTCGGGCATTCTCACTGTTAGAACTGGATGGCATAAACCTCAGACTCGGAGACAGGGTATGTTTAATAGAATCTTTTTATATATTTGTAAATATATTATTTTCCTCAATGCCCATTTTATTTACCAACCTATCATTTCATATATGCTCAGCAGATAGCAACAGTAAATGTTAAAGGCAGGGTACCAATGTGTTTCTATATAAATTTTCTTGGCAGCAGTACTGTGCCTCCAGTTGTTGTTTATAATCAGTGATACCAATATGAGTGCAGAAACCTCGTGGGTACATCAGTAGTGATTATTGCCATCATGGTCTTGGGGCTGTCAGTGTATGTACAGTGTGCATTGTGCCCCTGTTAGCTTGAACTTGCATCTTTGCTACTTCTACTGTGAGTTTGTAAAATCCTGTAAATTAAGTGAGTTTGGGATGGATCAGTACGTAGGTAAGAGCCTATAACGCCTAGCTGCTGCAGCAAGTGGTACTGGTGATTCAGCACCAGGCTGTTCTCCTCCTGAATTAGTAACAAACCACTGCCCTAATATGATGGTCAGGGCAGTGTATTGTTGGAGGATCTGTCTTTTTGATTAGATGTAAAGTGAAACACTTGACCACTCATGAACATTAAGGGCTTGGTCCTGCACCATTAAAACCAATTGAAGTTATGTCGTTACTTCAGTGGGAGCAGGATCAAGACCTCAGATCCCCTAGTACTTTTTATAAGAACAGAGGTGTTAATCCCTGAAAAACAAGATGCTTTCTACCCATAAATGTTAAAATGAGTGTTAATGCTCTCTCCTCACCCCTCCATTGGTGCTGGAACTAGGGGTGCTGGGGGTGCTGCTGGCTTGAAGTGATTTCCATCATACACAGGGTTTACAATTTGGTTCAATGGATTTCAGCACGCCCACTATACAAATTGTTCCAGCACCCCTGCACCCCGCTCCAAAAAATAAAAGATGTAAAAACATTTCCCTACCATTTTACCTGGGCTGTTTGGTAGTGACATTGCATTAGTAGCCAATCAGAAGGCCAGTTGCTTAGTAGTCATTGTAAATTGCCAATCCTACATAGGCCACATGGTCATCCAAAAAACTGTTGCTCTGTTACTCCTGTTTTACCTTTGTTCACAGATCTTCTGTAGCAGTTCTACTTTTTTCTTGGGAAAAACAGATATACAAAGCCTACCTGTTGAGAGCAGTGAATTTTTTGCTGGCATTAAGGTACTTTGGAAAGGAAACAATATTCTACTCTATTGCAACAGAAGCTTTTCTAATTATTGTTGTTAATTACAGTTGTAGTAATAGTGCATGTATTCTAAAAGATTGTTATTTGCCTATTAAATACTCTAGCATCAGTAGATGATGAAAGAACTCAACTTCAAATGCTTTTATTTCTTTTGTGCTTTTTCATTCTAATCACACTTGCTAAAGATGCAAAATGATGAGAAGGTGGGACCAAGTAAGCAACAAGAAAATGTATGTTCACTGGACACTCCAAATGGATTGATAGTGAACTAATAAGTAGCAAAGCTCAACTTTGCTGAGCTCAAGTTCCACGGGCGGTGGGGGAGCCAAAGGTGCCTCTTAAGCTACTTTTATGCCTCTGCAGTCACTGATGCCAGCTAGATGCCCCCCCTAGGGACTGTTCCACTGACTTATATACATGCTTAACTTTATGCACTGTGAGTGGGATTACTCATAGTGTATAAAGTTAAGCACATGCATAAATCTCTGCAAGATAAGGACCCATGTTAGCCCCATGTTCTACTAAGTTCTGCAGTGTGCTTTGTAAAATATAAACATATTTTCTTTTCCACACAATTTTACATGCACAATTGGACCTTATATTGATAGCCCAATTTAAGGTTTCTTTGTAAATTAGCCCTAACTATATTCTCTTATGTGTACTATACAAGGATCTATATTGCTAGTGTACAGAGACAGGTTCTAGGGGAAATATTATGTTTCATTTTCGTCAGGATTTTGCTTTCACTAGGAGACAACTTTATAGACAACATATTTGTTTTATACAGCTGTAAAAACTGTATTTTAACTTTTCAAAAGTTATACAGAAAATGCAATTTTGTGTTATTACGGTAGTTCACACAGTAAGATAATCTCAAGTAAATATTTGAATTCTTAGCATGCTTTTTTATATGCCAGCTGCATCCTGAGTCACTGAATATATCAGAAGATGGAAGAGAATACAGACTGACAATAGAAAGTAGAATTCCTATTCCTTGTCCCAAATTTAGCCAACTTGAAAATGACTGCAAAATCTCATTAAAATTAAATACTATTGATGAAGGTAAGTATTGTCCTAATTTTTATTAAGTTTCCCACTTTGAATATGCATTTCTAAACCTTCCCTCTAGATTTCAGATGTTTTTGGCGTTGTCATAAATTATGTGATATGTTATATAGTATATAGTAGCACAAAAAAGTCATAGGTCAAATCTGCTTCCATTCAAGGTCTTGGGAACCAAAGGGCTAATCCAACACCCACTGCAATTAATAGAAGGCTTTCAATTGACTCCAATGGGCAGTCCATCAGGCCCCCTGCCATTGACTTCAATGGGAACAAACTGGACCCTGTGTTTGCACATTGCTAATTTTGTCACATCAGCCAGTGCAAGCAAAGAAAATTCAGAATGAAGGATTCTCTCCATGACTCATTGCATTGCTCTTAACTAATATAGCACTTAGTCCTGCAGTTTTAACTCTTAGCCATTATTATATTTTTTCTGTAGTCAAGCAGAACTCCTGTTGACTTCCATGAAAGTTTTGCTTGGGGAAAGACTGTAGGACTGGACTTGTGGTTTTGTGTATATGATTATAGATGTAGAATCCAAGACCAATAGCTTATCTGTGCATGGAGATCCAGGTAGCTTTAGCATTACCAAAATATCAGGAAAGTAGAAGGCCTTACTCTTTCATTATTTACTTAAACAGTACCAGCAAAATGTTTATTGTCTACTCAGGCAAACACTAAAGGGAAAAAAATCTTCTGATTTGATTTTTCCTCTAAATGAGTCACTAATGATTGGTTTTCATTAAAACAGGTAAAGAGCAGCTAGGCTTAAACTTGGCTCTTTCTTCTTGTGATGTGGATCTTCTTCAGAAACCCTGCATTAATGGAATCTGTAGCCAGGTTATTGTTCATTTCACTGCTGTGACAGATTTTGCTCAGGATGGAGACAGAGTTACCAAGATTATGGTGGAACCTATATTAAGTGACAATTTCCTGTGGAACCGCTACATCCCAGAAGGCATACAGGTTGCAAACCATCATGTTAAAATCTTTTAAAAAAGATAGGGCCAGCACCTCAGCTGGTATAAACTGTTGAACCTCCATTGGCTTCAATGGGTTGTGTTGAGTCACACTGTAATTTCTAATGGAGTAGATTTCCATCTTAACATTTTCATTTGAATGGAACTATTTGTCTTTTGAATTAAAAAATATTAATATTTTAAAGCTAACATGACCACTGAGAATAGTAAAAAATGAAATTTGGAAAGAGATTTGAGAATGCATTAATTATAAAGCAAACTGGTGTTTTAAGATCAGTAACTAATATGTGATATTAGTATTAGTACATAGATTATGGAATGTATTGCCTGACTTGATAACAGTTACTTACTGTGAATCTCTTTGTTTTGAAGATTACAATAAAGGATCTTCCCTCTGCCTACTGCTACTCATTTACTGACCCACATATAATTACATTTGATGGCAGGTAATCACTGGATTGCTACATTTAATTATAAGTGATTTCATGAACTTATATTAGCAACACTGTTAAATTGTTTATTGTACATTTCCCCCCTCTCCTCCACACATTCATCCCCAAAACAATAGGGATAAACATGTTTCAGTTTGTACAGGCTTCATAGTAATGCTTCTATTATTCGTATTTCTGAAGACAAAATGCTTTTCTTTGCTGCATGGCAACAGAGTGAGGCAAATTGTATTGTTCCCTGTGAAGTGTGGCTGTGGTGGAGCATGCCAGCAGAGGAATGGTGGCTACCTGTAGCTCTTGCTCACACTCTCTATATGTGTACAACAAAACACACACATTTCAGGAGGATTGGCTGAATGGGAGAGGTTGAGACGGTGAACAGCCACTCCATCAGCACAATCTCCTAGCAACTACCTATAATTTACTTAGCAAAGTGCTGTATGGGTTAATGCTGTTTGCGCCAGTCATATACCCAGCTGCCTCTCACACATCACCACAAAGCCTTTTCACACAGGGACAGAGCAGCTTTTGTGCCCTCAATGAGTGCAAGTTCTGTTGTACTTTTCCCTCTTCTATGGCATTTCTACTGCATGGGGAGGGTCAAGGCAGAAGAGAATCCATGCAGGAGAAACTATGCACCTCCTGATCACCACAGAAAAAACTTCCCCATTGGTTCTTGTCAGGGTAACAGGGCCGAGCAGAAGGGAACATGTGGCCCCCAAACAAGGATGTTCATCCACACATAGTATGGAGACACAGAGTGAACCCCATATAGGAAGGGAGAAATGCATCTTCTCTTACCAGGATTGGGTCAGTTACAGGATGGCCCTACAGTGTATATTGGGGCTAGAGATTCCTTCCCTGAGGCCAACTGTATTGCAGCACAGTCTCACATGAGCAGTATTTTATTAGCATGTTCATCACAGAGGGCCTTATGTTACTAGCAATAAAAAACAAACAAAACAATGAGCTTGAGTCTGTCGTTCCTACTTCAGTGGGAGTTAGCTTCACAGGACACTTCTCTTCCATGGGCAATTTAACCATGGAGATACTGCAGGATTGGGCTTGTTTGTGATTTATAATGGCATTCTCTTGCTGAAAGCATGCTGCCAAAAAGAGAAAGGCTGATGGTTTGGAAAAAACAATGCAACCTCTTTATTTACAAGCTGGGAACAAGAAGTACAGGGCGATAGTCTTTAGTGAATCACTAGCTTGTACCTTGCAAACCCGGTAGAGTGGCCATCCCAACCACATATGCACTGTGTTTACCAGGTCACTGTGCATATAGCAAAAATCAAACACTGTGTATGCCTTAGTTAAATTTCAGACACTATATATGTCCTGACATACTGTTAGCTACCAAACAATCTTCCATTTGTTTAATTGAATACCAGTAAATTGAATGCTTATCCTTGTAGGAACAGAAAATTCCTTCCTGAGAAAAAAGCCACGACTTGTGTTTAAGCTAAACCATTTTTTGTGTCTCCAAGAATATGCACATTGCTGTTCTGTTTCTGTTGAGTTCAAACTGACCCTTACCCAAGTCTGTGATCCTCTAAACCAGGGGTCGGCAACGTTCGGCACGTGGCTCACCAGGGTAAGCACCCTAGTGGGCCGGGCCAGTTTATTTACCTGCTGACGTGGCAGGTTCGGCTGATCGCAGCCCCCACTCGCCGCGGTTCGCCGTCCCGGGCCAATGGGGGCGGCAGGAGGCCGTGGCCAGCACATCCCTCGGCCCACGCCGCTTCCCGCCGCCCCCATTGGTCCGGGACGGCGAACCGTGGCGAGTGGGGGCCGC